ATTGCATCTTGATAAGACTCAGAAGGGCAGAGCACACAGAGAATGTGCTGAGATCAGGATCATGAAAGGTTAGAAATCAAAATTGAAGATTTATTACCAGGCTTATGCCTAGCGTCAGATTCTGGGGAACAAAGACAGAGAAAAAGAAGGGGGTTATGATGCACAGCCTCTAAAGGAAGGAAGTGGAAAGGGGACTTTTGTCTCAGGACCATCTGCCTTGGGATCAGATGAGCCACAACAGATGGGAAGCTGCTATTGGCTGAGACATCAGGAAGGATTTCCAGTCTGGCCAGGCCCTGCATTTTTGGACTCCGTTCCACACATGTGACTGGAGTTCACCTACACCAACAGCCCCAGTGGCAGCTACCAGAAGGGAATGCAAGTGTGGGTAACTGCTGAAGAGAGAGCAAAGGATTCTGGGATAATTGTGGTACTTCATGTGCTGTGTCCATGAGGAAACTGACAGGTCAAAGACAGAGGAAGAGGAGCAAGCTCAAAATGGCTCTGCAGGTGCATCCAAAGGATGCATTCACCGGAGGACTCCAGCAAAACCCTGAGCATCTTGTCTCCTTATTTTTAATGCTTTTGTGATGCAAATAAAATGCAAAAGGCTATAGGTTTTAAATATATAACTGGATGAGCTTGGAGATAAGCAGATACCTGTGAAACCAGATCCACAAACTGTGCCAATAACATATTCATGGCCTCCAAAAGCTTTCTCCCACCTGCTTTATTTTCAGAAATAAGAAAGTTTACATAAAGGCTGGGGGTGTAGCTTAGTAGGACAATGGCTGGCTAGCAGTTCTGAAGGCCCAGGTTCAATTCCAAGCACCATAAAAAGCAAGGAAGGAAGGAAGAAAGGAAGGAGGGAGAAAGGGAGGGAGGGAGGGAGGGAAAACAGGCGTGAGAAAGAGGGAGGAAGTAAGCCAGTTTACATAAGATCAACCCTCTTAGCAAAATGCCATGTATCCAACACAACACTGTTGACTCTAGGGACCCTACTACACAGTAGATCTCTAGGACTTACTGGTCTTGCATGACTGAAACTTTGTACCCTTTGACTGCAACCTCCAACTCCTCCTCCCTGCACGAACCCACATGAGATTACACTAAGTGAAATAATCAGAGGGCAAGGAGAAGTGAAATAATCAGAGGGCGAGAAGGACACCATGACACCACCTCTAGGCTGCGCCGAATGTGTGAAGAGTGAAATGACGGCCGTCTCCATCATCTCTCGCTCTCAGCTACAGATGGGAGAATAACAGCCAGGCTTCTAACAGTTCTCTTGGAAGGGGCACTCGGAGAGCTCAGACAGCTTACATGGCCTGGTTCCTCCTCCATGACTGCCCCACAGCTAGTGGTGAAAAGCCACTCTGTTATCACAGGACGAACACACAGGCAGGCGAAGAACAGACTCTGCCGAAGCAGCGCACACAGGCTCAGCCAGGCACTTCCATACCTCACCCAAAGCCAGCAGTGCATGCAAGTTGATTCTGGTGCACACACATCTTCAGATCACTATAGAAGGGGTCTTTCGTTTCTTTAATGGAACATCCCCCAGTGTTCCAGGGGAGTATTTGCCATTATTTCTCAACCTATAATCCCTTTCACTATGCTGTCTCAATTGTACCCCCCACAGAATGGTTTTTAATTACCTTCTCATTTATCTATTACAAAAGCTATTATTATATACTTTAAGCGTGTATTTTTACATACTACTCCTCATTCATCTTAAGTTACTTTTTTTAAAAAACAATATCCATTACAATCAAAGAGTTAGATTTCACCTTTTCCTGTTATAGATACTTAACTATTTGAAATGTATACATGCAAAAGTGTATGTTTCATGAACAAATAATTCATACTGATATGTCCTGTCTAGTTAGGGGACTGAAAAGCATCAGAACTCCAGACCCAGGTTTCATGAAGTATCATGGTATGAAAAACTGCCTCCAAGATTTGATGTCTGGGGACTAGCAAGATGGCTCGGTGGGGTCAGTTCCTGGCACCCACATCGGTGCTAACAGCTGCCTGTAACTGCAGTTTCAGGGAATGTGAGTGATACCCTCTTCTGGCCTCTGTGAGTGGGTACTTCATGCATGTGGTGCACAGACATATGTGTAGGCAAAACATCTATATACATAAAATATAAATAATATTTTAAATGCTATAAAGTGTGCTTAATACTTCAAAAATATTAAATATCCAAAATTCAACTTATGAATTTTAAAAAGCAGCTGCTTTGTTTTTGCAACATTTTTATGTTCCCAGACAAAGAAATGAAAGATATGTTTTCAAATTGTAATTGACAAACAAGTTTCTACAGTTACACTGACTAGTAAGTAGGTTTTAATGCCTGGTATCCTGAAAGAATGGAGGGTCCAGTCAGCCAAAATCATTACTATACTTTTCCTCTGCAGTTTGACATTTTAAAGAACTTTTGACAACTAATTACTGAGTGCATTTGGGTTGAATGAACACAGTGAATTATCGTGATGAATTATTAGTTACAAGCAGACTTAGCATGTATCCTGGCTTTTACCATGGATTGCAGATCCTATATCCCATGGTACAAAGTTGGCCTTTATGGACTGGCCTTGACCTCTAGTTTGCATTGGCTCTGGCCATTATTGACTGGAAGCAAATGGGGATATGTACGTCCCTCTCTGGCAGGACATCTCAGCTGGCGAATCACGTGATCCTCACAGGCTCTGGTCTCTTTGGGTCCCCTGTCAGCAGTCATCTTTGTGACCCCCACCACACCATTTTAAATATTTTCTTTATGCATCAAAGCCTCATCGGACTGGATGACTTGAGTGTGAGTGTCTCCTCTCTTTCCTGACTCCCCTCTGCCTTGCTGATGACACAGAATACAAAGGACAATGTAAAACTATGCACAATGGTTCTACACTTGGTAGGTTGGCGTCCAGCTCATGTTAAAGAATCACGCAATTGCATCAAGGACTCTCTCACGAGATAGTCAATAAGAGTCACATGTGCACAACCAAATGCACAGTCAAGCCTCAAGAGAACACCACTCCAAATATTTATTTTATTGTTGAATTAAAAAGCAGAAATTAAAACCATCGATAACTCACTGACATTCCTTTAAAATCCCCAAAGTTTACAAACCACCAAAAAACACACATAAAATTATATACACATAAAGAAGTTTTCCTAAGTGAAGTACTTATTTTTTAATTCTATTCCAATGAGCAAGTTACAGAGTTATGGAACACACACTCGCTCCTCTGCTCTCCTCTGAGAGCGCTCTCTCTCTCTCTCTCTCTCTCTCTCTCTCTCTCTCTCTCTCTCTCTCTCTCTCTCTCTCTCGTGTGTGTGTGCGTGTGTGTGTGTGTGAGAGAGAGAGAGAGAGAGAGAGAGAGAGAGAGAGAAAGAAAGAGAGCGCGCGCGTGCACGCGCACACACATGTGTCTGCCTGTGTATACGGGAGAGGCTGGGTAGGGTTTAGAATCTAAGAAAGTGTCAGACTGGGCAACAGTGCTAACAGAAGTTACATAAAGCACCTGGACTTGATGTGACTTTGCAATCTCTTCCTCTGTAAATGGAAGCCGAGTCATTAGCTGGCCTCCAGTCTAGGGTAGAAGCTGGGATCCAGTGAAGGTTATTTATTATCCAACAAAGAGGCATATATCTAAAAGCACCCATCTCATAACTGCTTGAGTCTAAGAATTTATAGGCAACAGGAATATAAATGCAGGAGATGAGTATAACAGCACTATTTTTATGGGAACATTGTGTGATGAGCCAGGACGTGTCCACTGACACCCATGGTGTTCAGCAAGCTGTGAGCACTTGTGGATGCTGCTTAAGAGCAAGGGCCAGGGAAGGAGGCAAGGCCACAGCATCATAGGTTACAGAGTCCAGCACTTCCCCACCAGCTGACTAAGCCACCGTAAAAGGAGGCTACAAAGAAGGTACAATATGGCTGCAGGGAATATTCCTCACAAGAGACATTGTGTTTATGGGTTCTCATTTGATGAAATTCATCCAACTCTATTATGGCCTGAACTGCTAAGTGGTGTGACGTACAGAGTTCTCCAAGATGGTGATTTTTTCCCAAACAAAGGAAAGTATTTACCGGGGTGTCACCACAATGACATCCTTGCCTCCAAAACTAGCTACCCTGCCATCAGCCTCTTCTTCCACATCCTCTCTCTGTTCTCACAAATTACATTGCTCTCTGCAAAAGCAGAACTCCCCTTGACTGCCCATCTGCTTCTTATTGACAGCATTCAGTAGAATCCATGCTGAGTGCTACAGTGTCGTCACCCCAGCAGACCACAGCATCTGTAAAGTCAGCCGTTGTACACTGGGAAAAGCTATGTCTCAAATAAGTCAAGGTCAGCACAGTGGAGAATGTACAGCATCTACGGCATTAGTCACACTGCCCACCACCCTTGCCGCACCTCACTCTGCCAAGCATCACTGAGTCCTGGGGGGCAAGGGGTGAACAGAAACACCACTGAAGAAAGCACCTTTTACCAGAGACTGGACAGTGTCTCAAGAAAGCAACACTTTTCTAGCTTCAGACCATGTGGTATTCTAGACAGTTCTGCGTCATGTTATGCATCATGATATATACATGTCCACACTCATGAATCAGCTCAATCGCCCTCTTTTTTAATTTTATTCTTTGATATTGCTGATCAAATGAAAAGGATGGGCCAGTAACCTTCATGAAGGACTTTAACAAAATAGGCAAACTTCCTTTTCAAAATTCAACGGGTCCTTTCATCAATGTAGCCATCTCTCTGGGGGGAAAAAAAACAATCATAATTTCCTTTTATTTAGATTATCATTGATTGCAGAGACATCTAGAAGAACTGAAAAGGAGACCTGGAAAAAGAAGGCCTACCAGGAAAAAGAAAAAAAAAGATGCAGGGGACGTCACATTTAGAGACAGGGCTCATCTACCTTGGGAGTTTGCCAAGGCCTGAGGAACCTGCTGTGGTGGCCGTGGGTGGCTGGGCCCTTACCTTACCACACTGCTTACATTTTCCCTCCTGCCGCCGCCTGTGGACCCAGTGATGACGCACAAAGTTCTGCAAGAAAACAGAGAAAAGTGAATACGTTTTCATTTGCAGTCCCCAGCATTCATTGTTTGATGTTTTGGATTATAGATTTCTATGCTATAATCCAAACCGAGAGAAGCACAGAAGTAAACATGTGTAGGTGTGACTTATTCAACAATAAACATGAATACACTCAGAACAAATGAAGTTCCTTCTCCACTCCCAGCAATCTTCTGCACTGTGCATTCTGCTCAGCACCTCCTCCAGCCTTGTCTTTCCAGTGCCCAGGACAGAACAGACGGCACTCGATGCACTTTCTTACTAGAAAAGTCCATGCAGATCTGTGAGTGGGGGGAAGGATCTCCAGCTGGGAGGTAGCTGTGGCTCATAAAAGAAAAACCCAAAGAGTGGTGAAAAGTTGAAGGGAAAAAGCTGATGGGATTATCTCCAATTGGACTGAACAAGTGCACATGAAATGCTTCATATGGCGGATGTGCCACACAATACTAAACCTTATAGCCACAAGGAATTTCCAAGATCATATTCTCAGACACATCTCCCAATATAGGACACTGATTTGAGACACTGTCACTAGATAAAGTGAAGGAAGAGAAACGTTAAAGAAAAGAGATGTCAAAGAGGATTGGCGTATGGATGACAGCTGTTCATACACCAACCTTGGTCACCTTGAACTAGACCAGCTTTTAAGGCTGATTCTTATCATAAACTTAGGAAAGTATTTTTCATCCCAAGTAGATGATCATCACTGGGGTAGACTCAAGTAATTCAATCTCCGCTAGCTGTCAGAGTGCATAGCAATAGGGAGTGTCATCTACAGCACTAAAGGTAAAGAGGAGCCTTGGTGCACATCATCCCTCATACATCAACAATATAAAGTGCTTCCTTTCCTCTGACTCCTGTCCTTTCCTGAGAAAACACACGTTGCCTCTTAGAGAATTTAGCCACAAACCATATTCTCCCTTTAATAGTACCTTTAACGTATGTTGCCAGCACATTGCCTATTACATACCATAGGCACTGTTCTACATGGAAACAAAGAAAGCAGATCAGTCTAGAGCCACACCACCTTGAACATGCATCATGGAAGAAGCTAAGCAGAGTTGGGGCTGGTCAATACTTGGATGGGAGAATGAAGGGATTGAAGGAAGGGAGAGAGGGAAGGAGATAAGGAGGGAGGGAGGAAAGAAGGGAGCAGAAGAAGATGATAAGAGAGATGGGGGAGGGAAGAGGAAGGGGGGAGGAACAGAAGGAGGAAGGTTGGTTGGTTGTGTCAAGGCATGAAATTCCAGGCATGAAATGACAAGAAGACTTCCTCCAACAAACATTAGCACTTTTAATACTGAAATATCACCTCTATTGCTCTTTTATGTCAAATCAATTTAAAATAAAGTAAAATATGGTCCCTGGAGGGGTAACAGTCTTTTGATGATAGTAAGATCTAGAAACAGGATAATCCCAAGAACCAGTATGATTTTCATCTTGCTTTTCCTACTGCCCCCATTCAGTAAAACAAAAACACAATTTCACACTGTTCTCAGAAAGAAGATAATAAGAATAGCTAACCCCAACTAAGCAGTCTTTCACACTTTTAATGATATTTTATATATAGTAATTGTTTTAATCTTCATAAGAATAATAATGGATAGAGATACTTCTCAGTAGGAATGTACCAGAAAAGTTCCAGAGCTGTTAAAATACTGAAATGTCTTAATTTGGGTCATTAAATTGTAGTCTAGTGTCCTTACAACTCCCTGCCTCCTCTTCTGCTGTTATAACAACTGCTGCCACACCTCTTTCAGCCCTGGAAACCATGCCTACCTCCTCATTAGTAAGCAATTAGAATGCAATTGCCTGAGTTAGCTAGTATCAGGATCCTCTTCCAGTGAGAGCACCTCAGGTTACCTGAACAATACTAATGGTTTTCCCTGAAGAAGTTCAGAGGACTGGGCTGGCACAGGCGACATCAGATGCCTGTGTAAGCTTCAACACCCACATGGACAATGGCTGTCTGTGGTTGTCAAAACAGCAACTACAAGAACATTCAGGGCTTCTGGTGTTTATCCCATCAGTTCAATGCAAACCCTACACTAAGTGGGAATGAAGGTCCCGGGCCACCTAGCTGCTCATTTGGCAGGTGACATTGATGCTGAGCTCTCAGTCTCTTCTAGAAATCAGTACCTGCTTACGAAGAAGGATTGGGAAGAACAGGAGTCTCTACCAACTTCAGTATGTTCCAACTCACTACTGTAGAGCCCCCATCCCCAAAGATCTAATTTTACTTACGTATAGAGAGGTTACTTAAAATGTAAGCATAAAAGCAAAATTCCTACTCTCGCTGACTGGGAGCAGGCTCTCCTCCCACTGGGCCTCCATCTCTCTTCTCTGAAAGATTAGATTCACTACTTCCTCATGACACCCCAATAAACAATTGCAATGACAGTCAGGTGTGGAAATGTTGAATACATAAAAACGTCAAATAATAATTAAAAGGCATAGAAACATTTAATATAATAGCTGTTAGTTTAGCAAAAACTGAAGGAAAATGAACACTGTCACTGATGTTAAGAGAAATTCTGTACTTGGTGAGATTACAAGTCACTCAGTGACTATCAATTTAAGAAGAGAAATGTTGGGAGAATTGGATGCAATTATCTATGAGATATCACAACTGACTCATGGGATCATTTAGCTAGTGACAGCTCCATTCAAAAGATTAAACCAATAATTCCCACAAATCAACAGTGACTTAGAAATGAGGTGGCTCACTTGATCATTTGTACCACAACACAGACCATTTGGCAAGCAGATTTTTTTTCAAGACAGTGTTTCTCTGTGTAGTTTTGGTGCCTGTCCTGGATCTGGCTCTGTATACCAGGCTGGCCTCAAACTCACAGAGATTCACCTGGCTCTGCCTCCCGAGTGCTGGGACTAAAGGAGTGTGCCACCACCATCTGGCTGGCGAGCAGATTTATGGCATCCCAAAGTTCAGTCCATTTATGATATAAAAAACCCAACTTTATGGAAAATGTTTATATGAACTTATGTGACTCTACCATTCAATATCATTAAGATTACCCTTCCAAAGAGTACAGTACAGAGGAAACTGAAGACATGAAGGCCCAGATAAAGGAACTGATTAAACTTATCCAAACTGCTGTTGCAGGAGAAGCTGACAATGTTCTTTAGCTGTATAATTTGAGATGTCACACATCCTTGTGCTTAGAGTTCTTCTTAGGCCTAATACAAATTTATTCTGCAACTTAAGCATCATTGAAACTAAGTAAATAATCAATAAATGTTTATTGAGTTGAATAGAACCCTAAACCTTATTTATTTGACAATTAAACCAGGTGGTTACCACTTGGGAGAAGGAGGACCATCAGCTGTCTTCACCAACAAGGAAAGAAAAGCCATTAGCATCAAATCTCTACTGTTTTCTAACCCTTTCTGCTCAGGGACCTTCAATTTTCATACCATTTTCTTCTGACTGTTATTCATATCTCCTAAATCACTAGACCAAAATCAGATTCTTCATACTTTTTTCTTTAGATGATTATCCAGAGCTCCTGAATTGTTGGGCTGAAATTAGATTTTTCACACTGTGTTCTTTTGATTGTAATTCATATATCTTACATTGGTGGACTGGTATTAGACTTGAGATCCTTACACTGCATACGTGACTGTCAATAGATTGTTGTTAGGAAGGCAACGAAAGTTTATAAAACAATATCACAGTTTCTGAATTATTTATATACCACTTCAAGCACTGGGCAGGGAAAAAGCTATTACTTATAGGTGTTAAAACATCAGTGATACATTATTTCAAGGCTCATAAGAAAAGCATAATATAGTTGTTCAGTTACTTTCAAATGCCCAATTCAATTCAAGATATTGTTCACTGAATACTTGAAAAAATTCTTAGAAATCATAATCCAATCCATAGATCATGAGAAAGAAACCTGACCTCACAAAAGCACAACATAGAAGGAGTCCACAAATACTCTTTAAGAAACTTCCTTACAAAGGTAGGACTTGGTAACCAGCAGTCTTGAGTCTCCAGACTCTCACCAATTAGTAGGAAAATAGTGGCGGTGGATTTGAGCCAAGGTCAAACTAATTCTAACAGGAATACTCTTTCATTTACATTGAATGATCAACTTAAAGTCCCTTCATTAAGAGACTTGAGTGAGTCATGGTCACAAGTTTCATCTTCAGAAGCCCTTCATCAACCAAGAGTTCTAATTAATTTTGCAAGAAATGGATCTTCTTACAAATGCATCGAGGCAGCACATACTCATTGATCTTGGTCCATCTATGTCCTGGCACAATTATTTTGGGACAAATTCCATGCATAATCCCTAAGGTTTACACTAATGGAGAGAGATACTGTCAGACAAGTCAATGACAATGAGCATAAATAATTATGACATACAGCATGACCTGAATGAACAGGACAAAGTATTTAGCAAAACAGGAATAAGCTCTCTCTTCCCAGGGGTCAACAAAGAAGAGCACTACAGTGGGCTAATGGGTTACCCCAAAATATTCATATGTTGACATTCTAAACCCATAATCATGGCCAGGAAAGGAGACCTTTGCAACCTACTTGGGTCACGGGGAATGGAGCCCTCATCATAGGGTTAGTGCCTTATAAAAAGGTCCCCAGGGACCCTTTGCTTTCTTTCTTCCATGCAAGGACACAAAAAGGCAGTAGTCTGATACCTGCAAGAATGTTTTCACCAGCACCACACCATGCTGGCACTCTGATCTTGGACTTTCCAGCCACTAAAGCTGTTAAAAAAAAAAAAAAACAGCCTCATTGCTGATAATGAAATGGTCAATGGTATTTGGTTATAGCAACCAGGACTGACTTGGACAACCTCTAAGGATATGATGTTTGAGCTGAAAATATAAGAAGCTAAACGATCTGAAATATTGGCATGGAAGACTGAAGTATCCAAGAGTGGGGAATACCTTGTCACATGCCTCTGGAACTTAGAGAATGTCCCTTTGGCAGCTGGAAAGGGCTGAGACATATGCAAGGTCAGATTACACAGGTCTTTCAAAAGAAAGAAATCAGTGGGAAATGTCCCGGTCTGACTGTTAGTAAAAAAAATGACCATGCTCCTTAAATCACGGGTACATTGGAGAAAGTAACTGGAAAATCATGGAAAAGCTACTGCAGTCCTTGGGATGGGAAACATCCACACCTTAGTCGAAGTTGTTAATAGCAGACATGCAGGGAAATGGATGGATCTGGAATACATTTATAAATAAAACTGACAAATGAATTTGAGGTTAAAAGTACTAGAGAGTAAGAATCAATATGACACTCCCCCAGTGTCTACAATTGAACAGATCACTTTGTAGGGTAAAAATCGATTGGGAAAAAAGTTTTATGGTCACGATAATAGTTTGGGTTTTGATCTATTGTATTTCAGATGACCATAACATATTCAACGGACATGTCAAATGGAATTTCAAGAATGTAAACTGGAAATAAATGTAATGGCAGCTGTCAGCTATCCTAAGGACAGTGGACAGAGGCTAGAGAATACAGATAAACCCAGGGGGCCCTGCAGAGATGCAGAGGCTGGGGGAGGGGCACTGAAAGCAGACAGAGATGGCCAAGGAAGGGGAAAAGTCCAAAAGAGACGAAAGGGTGCTGCTGGGAGTCAAGAAGAATGGACTGTGTGAATGTTCTGAACATTTTTGAGAGCTTGGATAAGAACAGAAAAATACCTCCTGGATTTTCTATGATCATTAGCTACAGTGACAGTTTCAGAAAATGGACTGAGTAAACTAGACAAGAGCAGGTTAATGTGCTAGAAGATGACATACTAAACATAATCCATCCAGATAACAGTTTCTGGAAACTTAACCATGAACACAGAACTGAAGAGCAGAGCAGCCACTAAGACACAGTTGGTAGGTAAAGAATGCTAGTGTTCTTTTTTTTGAATTTCAGTTGGAAACTGTTACAACACACATTTGCTGCTGGAAATACTCTAGACGGGGCAGGTAGGGGTCAAAAGGCAGGAAAGGAAGAGAGATCAAGTCCTTGACAAGACTTTCATAGGAGGTCCAGTTTTAGAGCAAAGGAGTATTACAGTTGATGAAAACCATTTTTTGAGACTTGCAACAGAGACATTTTACATACAGTTATAACTGAGAGAGAGGCAGAGAGAAAGGCAGAGAGAAGGCAGGAAACCGATGGCAGACATAAACATCCCTTGGTTGGAAATTGAGTACCTCCAACTTAAGAACACAAAAAATGCCCCTGCAACCTTCATAAGGAAGACATCTTCATTTGAGCTGTCACTGAGCGACCTTTTAGCCAGCACTGCAGTTCATCAGGACAGCACCAAAGGCAGAACACCACCACCATGTTTCTACACGTCCCTCACCCCGTGTTGCCACATTGGACAAACCGTGAGAAAAACCAACTCATGGAAGGGTTCAATTCTCCTCTCCTCACCACTACCACCTCCAACCTCCCCATCTCCCCTCTCACCCTGCTGTGTCTCAGTCCTCTTGTTTTCATTATAATGAAACATTATTCTTATTTTTACCATTTTCTTGTTTTTGAGACATCATCTCACATATTGTCCAGACTAGCCTCAAACTCCTACACTCAAGGAATCTTCCTATCTCAGCCTCCTAGATATCTGACATCAAAAGTGTTCCCCACCTTGTCTGGCCTATACAATGTCTTTCTTTCTTCACTGTGTTTCATATGGTTGTGAACTCCTCTGTGCTCACACAGGTTCTACCCCTGCTCTATGCATTTTTCTAGTCTCACAGTACAAGTAAGCCTCTGTATGTGGTGGCCACTCACAGATAGCTTACTGTTCTTCTTTACAAAACACACCCACATAGGTATGTACTGGACAAATCCATCTGGGGGCAAAGTGGACACCTGAGTCTTGATGCTTTTACAAGTAAAGCCATCAGATGTCCAGTGCATTCTCAGACCAGCCTCATCCTCAGGTCATCTTCCAAAACCTAATCAGTTTTGCTCAACCAAAGCCTGACTTATTCTAGGGACCACTGCCTTCACATCCCAAAGCCATCCTTTACTAAATCCTGCCAATCTGTCTCCTTTAAACTCATCTCCTTGTAGCATGTTTCACTTAGCTCAGACGCAATCATTTCTTAACCAGTCTATAGCAAAAGCTGCTCAGATTGTCTCCAAGCCCCCAATAGTATCAGCCCTGAACTACAGGATGTTCCCTCCACATGGCAGTCAGCATAATATAGTCTGCTTAAACAGAGTAATACCCATTTCCAAATCCCTGATGACTTCTAGCCTGGCTTCCAGAGACTGCCATTGTCTACCTCTTACTCATCTCTCAAGTCCTGCATGTTACTAACATCTCTCATCTATCCTGTGTGCTGCTGTGGTTTCTGTCTAGAAAGCTGTCACTTTGTGTCTATCACATCTCACCCCTTGCCCTAGATAGCTCCTGAAAGAACCAGCCAGTGCCCATGTCTTCCAGGAAGCCCTTCATCTGACCAATTTGCCCCTCTCTATTACACAGGGCTGATTTGAGGAGTACATTGGCTGGGAAGGTTTCCAAGGGGTAAATCTCTAAGTGGATCTGAAACTGCTCTCACTAGGAATGTAAATAAAATGGAGAAATCACACTTATCAAGAACCTGTTCTTGGTGCATGGACTGGCTTTTTGGAGCCTGGGGCCTATGCTGGGACACTTTGTTCAGCCTTGGTGTAGGGAGGAGGAGATTGGACCTGCCTCGGCTGAGTCTACCAGGCTGGGCTGACTCCCCAGGGGAGACCTTGCCTTGGAGGAGGTGGGAATGGGGGGTACACTGGGGGGAGGGCCGGGGTGGGAGGAGGGAGCGCAGGAGAATCCATGGCTGATATGTGAAATTAAGTTATTTATAAAATAAAAATATATAAAAAGAAAAGTTCTTCAAAAATGCCAGCAATAAATATTTGGCAAATATAAAGAATATGCACATTAAAAAAAAGAATTCTTATTCTTAAAGAGAAAACATAAGCCTCTGGTGCTTGGGGGACAGTGGACAGCACCAGAGCATACCACACTGCCTTCTAAGGAAAATGGGTTGTGTAACTTGAAAGCTTTTGTTTTGTGGATTAGAAAGTACAATTTGGAGCTTGGTTCTAGACTATCTAGAATAATACAGGGACATAAAGACACACACACACATACACACATACACACACACACACACACACACACACACACACACACACACACCTCGCTTTCTCTGAATTGTGGTAGCTGTCTCCTCCACACAAAAGCAGTAAAAGCAGCCCTATCTCCATGCTGCTTCCTCCCCTCACACTCCCATAATCAAACAAACTGCTCTCCATCCCAGTCTATCCTCACAGTGACCTGACTATAAGGAGATGTTCGAGCACTGAACCTAACTTCCTCCTATAATGACTGTGTGTATTGCTTCACAGGTCAAGAGAGCAGCGGAAGCAGAACTGGCAAGCTGCCCTGGGTCACACAGCATTAAGGCTGGCTCTGGAAACAGCAGTCCAACTCCAGCATGCACACAGCAGACCAGTGACTGTGCTGTGCCTCACCCCCAGAAGAGCTTAGACCCACCCCAAAAGAAAAATTGGCCGTAAGACAAGGACAGGATTTTGTTTCCTTACCCCTTGAGTTCTACCATTCCCCTATCCCCACTTTTCTGTCCCATTCATTAAGACCTCGGCTCCTGCGCACACGCCAGTGGCTGGATGAAGTGCAGTGTGCTGGAGGGACTTGGAGAGTCCTTGTACTTACTGGCATATCAGGAAGAAACTGCTGTTTATAAGGAAGGAAGAAAGAACTCATTTGTCAACCTCGGGTGAATCCCTGGGGGTTCTCTGTACCCATGAGAGTTCAAGGTGGTTTTTGAAACAACTCACAAAACTCACTTCTCTTGGTGATCTGGAGCCTCCTTCCCGAAATGTTGGTTTACATCTGAAATTAATCTGTCATTTGAAAGGAAAAGCATGTTATGTTAGTGATAAGCGTCAGGTTGAACAGAATTACAAAAACAAGCAATAGCGGTAGACATCGAGACTATAAAACAAAACCCACAGAGAATAAGCAATCTATTTGAGTCTATTCCTCATCTCCTGAAAGCATCTCCCTAGATAATCCACAATGGTGCAGAGTGATTTCACACCTCCAGCCAGCGTTCCTGTGTTCTTATTGATGAAATCTAACTTTGAACAAAACTGCTCTTAGTCCATGAATTTAAGAGCTCAGAGCCAAAGGTAAAGCATGTGGCTGCTGAATCCATCGGTTGCGTTAGATTTTTAAAGTGGAAAATGTAAACCTGAGAAGTCCTAACGGCTGTGATAACTATTTAACACATGCATAGATGTTCCCTGTCAAGGACTCAGAACTGCCTTGCTTTCTGGAGAGGAGATGTCCTTGTGGTCACTTTTGCTCCTGTATAAAGTACAACAGAGTGGAGACGAGAAAGGATATATTCAAAGTGTCAGGCATGGCTGTAAGATTGGCAGCAGCTGGTGGTGTTGGCAAAGCTAAGCAAACACTGCATGAGGCTAAAATGGTCCCACTGTGTTTGCGAAGGGCAGCAGGAGAATGCAGATACCACAAAGGGTCTTGCCTGGACACAGAGTAAGAATTATAAATGAGAGCGGCAGGCAACTCTCTATTAGAGATCTTTCCATCCCCTAGTTGATAAATAAATAGACCATTCAGAATCCACTTCTGAAGACAAGACACCACCCTTGGGATGCCACTTCCAGCTCAGCCCCACATTTATGCTGCACCAGCAAAAAACGCTGCCCATGAGGTCTGCAGTGGAGTCTGAGAGATGCTTTAAGCTGTCTTGGCTCTCTCCCTTAGAGCTACTTTAGGAATATGGGAACTCACAAAGAGAAACATATGGAAGCTATGATATTAAAAAGCTCATTGCATCTTTTTTTTTTTCCTTAAAGGAAACATCTTGTGGAAGTCGAGACAGAAAGAGAATCGTTGTGTGCTAGGCTTTCCCAAAAGTCAACACAACCTAATATCAAATTAAACTTGGGAAGACAACAGGATGAATGACCTTTATATATTGTCTTTTCACTGTTACTCTGGTAGTCATATTAAACTCACAGTTTTCATATTTGTTTTTGTTTTTTTTAAGGCCAGTGTTTTCAAAAAATTAGAAATTGACACCCGATCTTGGCAAGTAAGTTCAGTGAATCCATTCCTCAGCAGGTGGCGCTCTCTTACCTTCTCTAGTTGCTCAATGCAGGCAGCGTGGACCACGATTTTGCAGACCGCACACTTCCTCCTGACAGCGGATTTCTACAACATTCAATTCAAAATACAGGAAAAATACGTTACCACACTATTCTGGAGACTTCTCTGGTAAGAGAGACTCCAGAAATCAGGCAAAATTGTAATTACTTCTGTTACTAAGCACATTGAAAATCCCTAAACATGTCAGGGTAGCTACCTACCCACATACCAATGACCTAGATGGCTTCTTCCAAATATGACAACAATAATACCCTCTACTACTAGGGCTTGTAACATAAATCAAGCTCTTTATTCTTTTACATCAGTTTTAAGTGTTACAGCTGAACAACAAAAGCATTGTCCTTAAGTTTTCTAACTTTTTCACACTTTCTTTTGCATTTCATTTGCATTGATGAGGGACAGAGGCAACCTTCTTACTTATGTCTTATGTACGAATCAAGCATTCCATCCTTACTCTCCGAGGCTATATCTCAATGACTGGCTGCTTTACGCTTCCATTCTAGGCACAAATCTACACTGTGCTATTTGGGTTTCTACCCATATCGTCAGGAGGGAGATTACAAGTCTGGATTCACACCCAGGAAACAACAACACGAACAAGAACAGCAATAATAAATAGCAACAAGGACAGCAGGAGCCGCTAATAAGATTACAGGTCTTGCTCTGTCCTCATGGCGCTTCACAGATGGTGATTCACTTAACTTTTACAGTCCTCTGAAGCAGAGACAGCCCTATCCCTGCTTCACAGATGAGAGAGCCCTCACACAGTGAGTGACTTGTCCAAGGCCTGCCAATGGGGCACAGCACACCCAATCTGTCTGGCTCCTAAGCATCATAAAAGGTGGCCCTGATAATCTTGGATGCATGTGTAAATTCACAGTGCAAAGCTTTCTGTGGTCTAGCTCAAGTCTCCAACAATCAAAAACCCAAATGTGGTGGAATTAGAGAGAGGACTAAGTGGACTCCCAATGTCATCCATGACAGCATCATCTAGGGGCACTACTAGGGGTGCGCAGAGCCCTCCACACAGACATGCCTGAAGAAGAGCTGCCTTGATAACTCTTTTTGGTGGTAGTAACCAACAAGACAGGAAATGCACTGTGCTACATGTAAGGATCTTAGATACTCTAAGTACTGTACATATTTACTTTCCCCAACAGATCATCTTTAAATCAGTGTTTCCTTCCCTAAGATGATGAACATCATCTGATGGGTTAGTTGTTTTTATTGTTCATGTTAAGTCACAGTTGCTTTTGAACCTAGTAAAATATATATATATATATATATATATATATATATATATATATATATAATTAAAATATATATATAATTAAAAAAACTAAATATTACCTGAGATATCAAACACATTTTGAGTACAGAACCTCACAATAACAAGAGACTACCAAAGAACCCAGGTGGGAAAGGCTGGGAGTCCCTGTACATTTGGAAAGTATCAACATAGACTGCTGGTGACCTGTGTCTGGTGAGTAACTTGCTGAGGAAGGACAGTGGAGCCCAGTGGAGCAGGAAGGTGAGGAATACACATAACACTGCTGCTGTGGAGAAAGGGCCCAGGAGGGATGGACTGCAGACAGCCCTGGGGATGCTGGGGGAGGCAGAAGGAAAGAAATGATCACCCTTTGTGCCCCATTATTCCTCTATAGTCGCATCAGTCAACAATGCTGGACATCAGCCTCTGTGAACAGGAGTGGTAACTGTCACCAGGTACCACTGTAGTGCACAAAACAGTGCAACAATAACACTGGTAGCTGTGTTTGTGGACTGAAAACATGTGACCCCTCTCTTGGCTTCGATCCTCCTAATATGACATAGAACACTATGTATGTTTGGCAATTAACTGACTTTTCAAACAACAAAGGATTAAGGGAAACCAAGACACCTAAGGATGCTGTTCAAAATGTCTTGTTCTACAACCAAAAATAGAAGGAGGAATAGGGAGGAAGAGGAGGAAGAGGAGGAGGAATACACACACACAGCCATGAGAGGAAGAGTATGAAACAGTAGGAGCAGCCATCGTAGCAATGATAGTAGTCACAAAAACAGCAGCAGCAGTAATAAAATTTGATTGCAAATTTTCATAACTAGAATGCTCATAAACAAATGGCCACTGCTCCCTCTTTCCTATGGATATCGTGGTCAGATCTCTGCATGAGCACCACCTGCAGAAAGTGCACGTGATATCTGAGTCAAGAAGCCAAGGAAACCAGAGTTGATACTTGTCCATGCCCACCCCCATCCCTAACAATTATACCACACATGTGCCAGATAACGCTACTCAAAACGGGCTAATACTTATGGACTTATGATATCATATGGCCTGGAAAGCATCCTCCCTATCAATGACTCCTACCTCCTTCTGCCACTGTGCCCTACTGCTCTCTTTATTCAGTCTATAGAGCACCAGGAATTCTAAGAAGCCACCATATCTTTGAGGAATTAACAGGCTCCTAGGCCACTGGGGTTGGACTCCTTCCTCATCATCTACTATGGACACCAGAAACAACCATCCCTCTTTAGCTTTTATGTTTGGAAGAGAGACTACATCCTCTTATCTCTACATACTACATAGTCTTGTATCCTCTCTTAAGTGTTATTCCACCTGGGCCTGCCAATCACCTGGCCGTGAGTCCACCTCTCAGGAAAACAGATTCATCTGAATGCACATTAAGGAGATTGGAGGAATAATTATCCCTTTAGTGAGATAATGTACTTCTCAGAAGCCTCTCCTCTGATACAGCTACTTATCACATGGCACACTACTAAGCTTGTGCACTTTCCTGAGTTCCAAAACCGTAGCTTTTTCTTTACTTTCTGTCTTTTTCAGATCCTGTCCAGAAACATAAATGTGCTTTCCCTAATGCTCTAAAGTCACTCGCTCCTTCCACCATGCAGCTGCGTGCTGACCTCCACTGCAAAACAGGCTGGTTTTCTCTCTTCCTATTCTCCATCTTCCTCACCCAGCCAGTTGCCAAGGTTTAGAGTTTGCTTGTCCTATTGTTTTTCACACAAATTCTAATAAAAGTGTCCTCTAGTTTTCTTCCAATTCCATTTCTGAATTTTTTTTTATTAGTGAGACTAATACAATACCCATACAAAAAACCCTGATTTCTCTAGCAATATGTGGAGGGTAGGAAGGAGAACATGGGCTAGACTCAAGAAGTCGTATGTACTCACTGAAACCAGAATGCACACCCACTTCTTTCCTCGCTTTTCATGTCACAATGCTGAATCAAAATCATTTTTAGAACAAGGGATCCTGGTTTATGTTGGGAAGCCCTGCTGCTCAGAGGCTGCAGTCTACCATGGCCTAGCATCTCTCTCCAAGCTAGGCAACATGGAGGAAATCTCTCCAGGTGGAGGGCTTCCTGCTCTCTATCTGACCTCATGTGGAGAATGTCTTTAGGCCCGGATGTCTGATTTATCTCTAGTGTGACCCTTGACACTACAGATGCTGTCCCCCTGCTGCCCATATGGTAATTAGACATTGTGCGAGGAGCTTTACAATAGGACCATGCTTCCACATATGATAACAGACTTGTACTAGGAGCTTTCCGACAGGAGGGTGCTGTTTAATGCAAACTGGGTGATGCCCCAGCCACGGTCCCCAGCCTTTTCTGTCTCCCCTCACTCCGGAGAAAAGTTGAGCTGTCTCCCAGAAAGGTTTTGCCACCCTGTTCACAGGCCTTACAGAGCTCTGTCTCTGCTTCTGCCCCTCTGTCCTCGCACACTGGTGGCCAACAGACCGCGAGGAAAAAGGGGACCCCACAGTTTACAAGAGCATAAGAACCACAGGGTTAATATATATCCTCACTCAGCTTTCTGGGTTATGTAAATATACTAGCATCATGCATCTCAATTAATTCAAGCATGAAAGTCCATGGAAGACAACACATAAAATAAAGTGCTCTAAATCCTAAGGCTAATTTCATTTAAATAATACAGAATATTTAAAGACCTTCTTAAAATATATTACATGCTTCTGGGTCTTTTGATGGAGAATACCCAAGCCACGATCTGAACTCCCATTCATGACAACAGCGTCATGCGTCGTACAACAAAAATCAGCCCGTTTGCCTTATCCTCTGACCAGAGCTCCCTGCAAACCAACCACTGCTCCTGGTGCAGCCAGCTTCCTAAGTGACAGCCTCTAAACAGCCGTAAAGTTGGGTAGTTCATGTTTCCAGCCCTGGTGGCTGCTCCTCCTTATCATCTTGATGGGATGTAGAATAAGCCTGGGAGATGCACCATGGGGTGTGTCTGTGAGGATGTTTACAGAAAGGACAGTAGGAGGCAAAAGCAGAGATGCCTGCCTGCCTGCCTGCCTGCACCTTTTTCTTCCTGAATGCATGTGTTCTGAGCTGCTCCCACCATCCTCTTTTAACTTCAGATTCCAGCTTCTTTGACCTTCTTATGTAGACAGTACCAGTGACTCTCCAGGGAGCTTCTAGGTCTCTGCACTGTGGACTGTGTAGCCACTGGGAACAGCATCCAGGCAACCAGTGTCAGACTACCCTACCCCTTATCATGTGAGCCAATCTAATAAGTCTCCTTCCATAATACATATGTAAGAGAGAAGACAAGAATATGTAGTGTACACACACGCACACCCACGCATGTTCTATTGGTTCTGTTCCTTTAGAGAACCTTGTCTGATATAATAATCAAATATGAAACCAAGTCAGTAAGTTCTCAATCACAGTCCAAGGTCTTTTTCCACGGTGGTAAAGAACACGGTTTTATTTCCTCCACTGGTAGAAACTGTTTCAGTGAATCCAACATGTTAACTGCCTACTTCGTGGTTTATGTGTTAGATTTTTCCAGGCAAATATCTAAGAGAAATAGTTTAAAGGAGGAAAATTTTATTCTGGTTCATGGCTTCAGAGCTTGCATTCCATGGTCCCATGGAGAGCTTTTGCTGAGGCAATACATCACGGCAGGGAGGCTTGGTGAGACACAGCTGCTCACTTCACAGCAGCCAGGAAGCGGAGAGAGGAGGAGAAACACACACTCTTTAAAGGCACCAC